GCCACGTCTGTCTTCGAGATCTGCATGTTTTTCAAGCTCCCGCCATTGTTGTCTGCATGTTTTTGAGACTCTCGCCATTATTGCATGCGTCGGTGTGCTTCTCGCAAACACTCGTGCTGTGCAAGTCTCTGTGACGCATAATTGAACCACCACTTTGCACGCTGCTTTCGACCCCCGCCCAATTCGCGGCCCGGGGTGCCCACGCAGTGGGTGCCCCTTACTCGGAATCCGATTTAGAGCTTAGGAGAGAGCGGTTTCACTTTGGAGCTTAGGATTCTGCAATGTCAAAGGTCCAGAGGTGTATGTATTAAGACTCGCCGGAGTGTCTGTCGCTCACGCACAGAGTTTTATCTAAGACTCGACCCGCCGCTCTAATGACTCAATGAAGGTGAAGTATGGCGGTGCACGTGACGGTGCCGTGGAGGTCGCATCCAGGACGACAGTTCGCGAACTGGGCAGTGGGCGAGGAAGTCATCACCAGCAGCGCCGTCATCAGCGGGAGCAGCATGGCCACCGTGTGCAGGCGAGCAGTGCGTCAGGGGATGATGGGCCAGCCGGCCGCCAGAGTGAGAGTATGGGGGCCTCGGGCGACAGTCTAAGCCAGTCCGTTGGTGGTGGTGGCTGTATGGATGACACGCCCTCCAACTGGAGCGACGAGCAGATCGACAGGGCCGTCGAGGTCAGGCGGGTCGAAGGCAAAGGAAGTAAGACACCCAGGGACGACTTATAATACACCACATGCCTGCATCCGATCGATGGCTCGATGGATGGATTTGTGAATGTCTGCAGGGTGTCTGTTCACGCGTCGTGCGTTAGCGCCGGGTACGGTGGTGTACAAGGAGGAGCCGTTGTTGGTGGCGCTGCCTTCGCTGGATGCCCAGCTGTGGGACAAGTTGGTCAAGGTCAACGAGGACAAGCCCCTCGAGCTGCCACCCATATGGCACTTTGCCGCACTCTACTCACTCCAGTACATGTCACAACGCGACCTGCACAAGTGCTTCGATAAATGCATCCCAGGTACGATACGTGCAGAAGATCACGCACACAGACATTGGCCGGGTGTGAGAATGCGTGCATATATGTCTGTATGCATGCGTCTGGGTCAGACCCCGATGAGATTGCCGAGCCGTCGCCCGACGTCCTGCGAGTGGTGGAGCGTCTGCAGCTGTGCCCCCTCGACGCCTCACCCACACGCAAGGGCAGCGCCGCCAGCATCAGCAGCAGCAGCAAGCTGGCAGGAGGGGCCCGGCGGAAGGATGATCAGTTGCAGGCATGGGTGCACCTGTGCGAGACAGGGGAGGGCCGCACGAAGCCTTGGACGTGCTATGGGTACGAGTTGGGCAGCCAGACCCCAATCCACCCACTGCACTACCAGAAGATGCTCATCGTATGGAGATACAACTCATTCGGTACATCCAAAGGGACAGACAGAGGGAGGGAGGGAGGGAGGGAGGAGGGAGGGAAGTGGTCTTTTCCTTCCCGCATGTGCGTTTTCGCGTGTTGTGCGGTCAGGTCATCACACGGAGGCTGAAGGGCTCGTGCTGTACAACCGTGAGTGTACAGGGGAGAGGGGGATTCTGTTGTGCGTGTGAGCATGTTTCGGCAGGGGGTGTGCTGTGTGTTATGAGTGCAGGCACGTCTCTGATGGCCCATTCGTGCGCGGCGTCGTGCTGCTGGCTCTACGGCGACAACGATGCATACGTCTTGCGTATGCCATACCAAACCCCCGAGAACTGAATGTGTTATTTCCACGTGTATGTGCGCATGTGTGAAGGGTCTCGTGTGGCGTTGAAGGAGGGCGACGAGCTGACCATCTCATACATCGGCGACGACGACCTCATCAAATCCACTGACAGTCAGCGAACACACATCATACGCATCAACAGAGAGGGGAGGAAGAGAGCGATGGGCCACTTGCGCCCTAGTTGGCTGTTTCGTATATCAGTGCGTCGTGAGAAGTTGCTGGGATGGCGGTTCATCTGCAGATGCGAGTAGGCAGGGACCTGCAGGAAGAACCGAGTCCGCATACTCATCTCTGGTTGTGTGCTGGTCGACTGATTGATTGACTGATTGATTGGTTGCTTGCTTGCTTCAGTCGGTGTGTGATGCCTCGGGACGAGGCGAGAGGGTTCAGGTGTCCCAACTGCAACATAGGTCACCCACACAAGACGTTCAGCAGTATGTACACATGGAACCTTAAACCCCTGTTGTCATGTCAGGGACGACAACCTTTCAGGACGTTGTTGACGACTCGACCGACGTGGAGACCGTCACGGAGGCCACGCCATGCGACACGTAAACCTAACATGGACGGGGGCACGTGTCTGCATGTGGCGGCCACACGACCATTCCTTTATTTTGTCCCTCATGTCTGCTGATCGATCAGGTGCGGTTCGGTGATCGCCCCCAATGCCATCAAGAGCTACACCACCGTGGAATCGCTGTGAGAAGGAACAAAGGAACCAAGTGCGCTACGTTGACTTTATATGTGTACGCGTGCATTGTGCAGGTACAACAAGCGTCTTGACGAGTGCGACAAGAACGACCTGGAGGATTTGCATGCCGTGTGGACCGAGGCTGTCAAGATATTCACACAACACTGGATCATCGCACACCTGGTAACCAATTCAGGCACTGTGACACCGATGTGTGCGGTGTATGTCTGTCTGTTTGTGTGCGTGTGTGTGTGATTGCAGGCAGGTTTGATATGCGAGGGGCTGCGTGACGTGTATCAGTTTGACGAGGCCATCCACTTCCACTCCATCAAGCTCAACTACCTCAGGAAGGTCAATACCAACACACATACACACATACGTACATGCACGATGGACGCCTGACACACGTACTGCGGGAGGCCATGTGATGCTATCATCTCCCAGGTGATGCCTCTCGCCTCCTACACGCTGGCCTGGGCACACGAGGTCAGGCAGGCAGGCAGGCACCTCACAGACAGACAGACGTACCACCTTATAGACAGACGTACCACCTTATGTGTGTACGTGTGAATATATGCAGGAGTCTGCTGATCTGTGTGGTTACAAGATCGAGCAGGAGAGCAGCGAGCCGGACGCACCGGCCACACAAACACCCATACCCATGTTCAGCAAGTAACGCAAACAGACGGCACCAACACGCCAGACAATAATGAAGGCGTCAGTCACCTCTGCTGTCTTGTGTTGTGTTGCTTTGTGTTGTCTTGTATTGTGTAGGTTGGTGATGGAACGCGCTTACGAGGATGCGCGGGCCCTGTTGCTGTTGCTGTGCGGCGAGTCGCACCACTACACACAAGCGGCTGTGGTACAAACGACACCCGTCGTATTAATAATTGTCACGCACATGCATGGATGCCCGCTCCCTGTCTTTGTTGTCTCTGTTGTATCCACCTACCTTAAGCGCAAGTTGGATCATGTGCATTCGTTGCCGGTGCATCCCCTGCCGTCCCCTCCGGCATCCACGCCGTCCGAGGCCGCCGAACCTGACAACACCACCCACACCAACGCGTCAGCGCCATCGCCCCCACTCCCTGCAGAGACCAACCACCACCACCAGCACCACCAGCAGCAGCAGAGGCAAATGACGCCCTTGACGTACCACACCCAGTCCCACGGACAGCCCAATGGCACCACTACAGGCGATGCGGGTGGGGTGTGCGCACCAGACGTCCTGGGTACGAGGCTCGCCGCAGCCGCACAGAGGCAGGCCTGGTGATGCAATGGCCAGACAGGTGGACAGATGGACGGAGGCACGGCGGGATGGAGGCGGGGACGAAAGGAAGGAAAGGACAGAGCGTTTTTTGCTTTTGGTTGGGTTCATTGCATGGCTGCCTCGATTCGTGCCTGGATTGGCTAGTGACGGATGATGACAACAACGGGACCTACAGAAAGTCACACACACACAGAGAGAGAGAGAGAGTGGGGGATGGGGCGGGTGGGTGGATGGGTGTCTCGAGTCATGAAGGATGCGATTGTGTGTGGTGGCGTCTGCAACAGATCATGCCCGTCCGTCTGTCGCCAATACGATCACTGTGAGCGTTTGAACCGCCACCTCCCCACCCACTTCCCCACCCACGAACCAATGCCAGATATATACCTGACTACCTGACCGAGCGAGATTGCATCGACTAAGTACAGCTGGGGCGGCACCATTTTGTCAGCCAGCCAGCCAGCCAGCCAGCCAGGCTACATGCGCATACCCGTAAATGAATAAATGGAGTCTTGTTTGCTCGACGCGTGTCTGTCTGTCTGTCCGTCAAGTGGCCTCTAAAGGGAGACGTGTGATTGGATTGACGGTTGTGTGGTGTGTATGTAGTACGATGCCCCGATCGCTAGTGCCCTGTTTGAGCTAGTGGGTGTTCCTACTCGGGTTGTCGACCCGTGATTGATGCACCTGTAAACCGCTTTAAGTGCACATGCCTGCCTGCCTGCCTGCCTGCCTGGTGCCCCGTGGATGCATAAGTTACGTGTGTGTGTATGTATAGCAGCAAGGACGACTGAATTGGTTACGCATCTTTGTGTGGTTATAGTATTTTGCCCCAACCTCACTTATATACGCTCCCTTTCGTAGCTTCCCCGACGTGTTCAACGTGTCGAACGTGTTCAACGTGTTCATTCATTCACTCTCAAGACTGGCAGATGGTTGCAAATGAACGGACACAAAGATGATCGTCGATCCCAGATACATCGAACACAAACCAAATGGCCGGGCACTTTTCACACATGCGTGCAGGTGTATGCTCGGGTGTGCTTGGTGTGCGCAAACACCGGTACGTGGTCCAGCACAAGGCGAAAGCGCCCACACCACCTCTCGCTCGCCCATCAGGCGATGTGCATTCAGTCATTGAGTCGTCCCATGCAATGTATGCACGCACAACTGAACCCAGATGCACAAATATCTCTTGAGCGTGTCGCTCCGCACACGCCAATGTGTCCCCGTTCATCCCCCTTCCGTGTGTGTATGGCTGTGCCCTTTTGGTCAGACGCCGCCGCACCCCCTGCCGATGACCTCACACATGTCCTCCACCGTCTCCAGCCGACCTTTGCGCCGACCCGCCTGACGCTCGCGCTCCTTCTGCACACAACACACAAAGACAAACAAGACACCGATCTCGGTGGCACGACCTCTCTGGTGGCTCCTCCCTCACTTGACCCACTGACTGACCGCCAGGTCCTCGAAGTATGAGGTGGATTTCTTCTTGCCGCCCCCTCGCGCCTCCTCCTGCAGCTGCTTCTTCCTCTTCAGACGCTCCTCCTCACTCTCAACCGACGACGGGCCAGTGGTCACATCAGGCGAACTGCTCCCTGACGGCGGGGAACCAGGCTGACTCTCGTCAGCTGCAATGGCGGCTGTCGTCATGAGCAGGGCCGGCAGAAAGAGGGCGGCAATGTTGGCCAATGCTTGCCGCCGCGAATGCACTTCTGTCAGGCTCATCGAGATGGGAAACGGCTCATGCCTTGTGGGCCTTCGGAGCGAGTGCAGAGATGTGGCAGCGGTGGGCTGGATGCTGTTGTGTCTTGATCTTGATGAGAGAGAGAGGGCTGTCTGACGCTGATTCAGCGATACCTGCCTCTCCGTGTTTGTTAGCCCCATCGGATTCTGCAAGCAAACAGTCTGTTTGTCTGTCAGAAATCACCGGTAAGCAGATCAGCGTGCACTCACCTCGACATGTTCCGGGCCTCCATTAGCATGCACATTTGAAAGATGACGCCTCCTGGCAGAGAGATGGCGGCGGAGGAGAGGCGGTCCGAACGCCTCGGAAAGCGTGGTTGTCGCTGCCAGGGCCATGAACAAAGCGGGCTTCAATCTTTGAAGCGGAGCCATGATACTGCTGACGATGCCGATCTCCTCACCAGGTCCCTACCTGCGAGCTCAGATCTCTCGCGAGTGCATCATCCTTCAAGCATTTCGTTTAAGGATTCATCAGCAGATCATGGCTCCGCTTCCGTCGTTGCCGAAGTTTCTGTTTCCCAATCCTCTTCCGAGGACGGACTTCACTCTGCATAACCTGCCTTTCGGTGTGTTCAGCCGTACGGGCAGCAGCATGCCTCGTCCAACCATCGGTGTGGCCATCGGCGACAAGATCCTCGACATGCGCGTCATGGCAGAGAAGAACCTAGTGCCACCGTACTTCGCCGACGTACGCAGTCGTGCATGAGTCAAACATGGGTCATCCTCTGCGGTTTCATGCGTTTGCGTTCTCTGTGTGCCACTTGACTTTGCAGTTTTATCTGAATCCCTTCATGATGGCGGGCCGCCAGGCATGGTCAGTCACTACACCCACTCACCCCTCTGCAACCCTCAAACGGATATACATACATACATGTGCCGGTGATGCGTGTGGTGGGTGTATGTAGGTCTGAGGTGCGTGAGCGTCTGCAGCAGTATCTGTCTGACAGTCACCCCAGCTCTTTGAGCCACCGGCCGGATGTGGTCAAGGAGGCCATCGTGGAGCAGAAGGACGTCACGATGCACCTGCCAGCCGTCATCGGCGACTACACCGACTTCTATGCCAGCAAGGAGCACGCCACCAATGTCGGCAGCATATGGAGGTCCAAAGAAAACCCACTCCTGCCGAACTGGTCGGTACAACAAGGAAGAGACGGAGGGACGGAGGGGGCGACGACCAATGTATGTGTGTGCATCTGTTTCGGCACGCAGGGTGCATCTCCCTGTTGGCTACCACGGCCGAGCCAGCACCATCATTCCATCAGGTAGGTCCAGTCGCACACGCGGATATTCGTGCGGACGAATCAAGCAGTTGTCATACGCGCGAGTTCTCGTTTTGTATCCCTTCGCGTAGGTCAGCCTGTGATACGCCCGTGCGGTCAGATGCTGCCCAAGGACGCCGACAAGCCCGTGTTCGGCCCATCAAAGGTCCTCGACTTCGAACTAGAAATGGTAGGTACATCGATGATGAATGTCGCCTTCCCGGTGTCTGCTTGTCTGTCACCACATATGTATATCCCTCTGTCCCTCGTGTGCCGCGTGTGTGTGTGCAGGCGTCCTTTGTTGGTGGTGAGTTCGTTGCCGGCGACCCTGTGCCATTGGATCAGGCGAGGGACAAGATCTTTGGCCTGGTGCTCATGAACGACTGGACGGCAAGGGACATACAAAAGTGGGAATACCAACCACTCGGACCATTCCTCGGCAAGAGCTTCGGTCAGTCAGTCAAACAGGCAGACAAACAGAGAGAGAGAGAGGCACACCCTCACACTCCGACGAACACAGACATGCATTCACATGTGTGGGGATGTATGTGCTGTGTTGTCGTGGGGTTTGCCGTGTATGTGACAGCTACTGCGATATCTCCGTGGGTTGTGACCCTTGACGCGTTGGAGCCCTTTCGGTGTACAGCGCCCGAGCAGGACCCCGAGCCCCTCCCACACCTCAGACACAGAGGCGTCGACTTCCCCTCATACGACATCAAACTAGAGGTAGGCAGGCAGGCAGCCACATAGCCAACCAAACAGCGATGTGTATACGTGGAGGGAGAGGAAGGACAGAGAGCTTATGTATCAATTATCAGGTGGCAGTGAAGCTGGAAGCCGACCACTCACCCGAAACAATATGCAGAACAAATCTCAGGTCAGTCAGTGTCGTTTATGGAAATCCATCTCCCTCCTTCTTTATCTCTCCCTGGTCGTGTCGTGCGCGTCGCGTAGGTATATGTATTGGACGATCTTCCAGCAGCTGACGCACCACGCAAGCAATGGGTGCCTCATGAGGGCCGGAGACCTGCTGGGCACCGGCACCATCTCAGGAAAGGTACGCCCGCTGCACCGCACCACTATGAGTGCATTAGAGGCTGGCTGGCTGTCTGACGAATGTGAAGGAGAAGTCCTCTTTCGGCTCGCTGCTTGAACTCACGTGGGCGGGCAGCGAGCCCCTCAGATTCTCCAATGGTCCGCCCTGATTCACAGGCACATACACTACACTGAGTTGGTGTAGCTGGTGTGGATTGTGGGCGTGGCGTGGTGTCCAGGTCAAGAGAGGAAGTTTCTCGAGGATGGCGATGAAGGTCAGACATGCTCAGAATACTACACACGCCCCATGGCCAGTCTGTTGGTCTGTGCATCGCTTGTGCGTGCGTGGTGTGTGTGCGTGTGTGCAGTGGTTATGACGGGCTACGCCGAGAAGGGCCCCATACGTGTCGGGTGAGCAACCCACCGCCCATGGATGCCAAACCCCCCCGCACAGGGATGTTTTCGGTATGCGTTGGTTATGTGGTGTGGTAGGTTCGGTGAGTGCCGCAACGTTGTGCAGCCTTCGAGGGTCAGGGGGGAGCCTGTCGTGTAGCGTGATGGGGAGAAGGGGAGAAGGGGATAATGTGGGGAATAGGTGTCTTTGTGTGTGACCCTTGTGCTGTGCAGTGGACTCTTGTTAATGGTTTTCATCCATCTTTCATTCGTGTCCGTAAGATCTCGTTCCCATCAGTCACTGCTATCATTTCTCTCTCTCTCTCTTTCTCTCTTTTTGAAAACAAAAGTAACCCCTCGAAAACGGAATCGACAGTCCTTTTTTGTGCTCTGCTTGGTGTGGTTCATTCACTCTTCCTCGATGTCTTCGGACTCGTCCAAGTCCTCAGGCTGGGCAGCCGCCTCGGGCTGCTCCTCGGAGCCAGCCTCGGGCTGCCCCTGGTCGGCATCGATCGAGAAGTTGGAGTCCTCGGGCTCCACGGGCGTCATGGGCTCCACGGGCTCCATGGGCTCCACGGGCTCCATGGGGGGCTCCTGTGGCTGAATTTCCTCGGGGGCTATGGCACCCTCCTCCACCGCTCTCTCACCCTCCGACTGGCGGCTGGCAGGCTGGGGGGCTTCAGGGAGAGTCTCCTCCCTTAATGCACATACACACCGTCTCTTATGGAAATGGAGGGCTTGAAAAAAGTGTCCTGCTCACTTACGGCGTTTCCAGTGCAGTAGGAGGGGTCTCTCCGGCCGGCTTCTCTGAGACCTTGCCGGCGGGCTGCGGTGCAGCAGGAGGGGCGGGGCCGGCACCACCCTCCGCAGCAGCCTTCTTGGCCGCGAGGCCGGCTATCTCCTGAGAGAAACCGACCAGGACAGGGAACATGGAAGAATGCACGCCTTGCTGCGACCACAACGCAGCTATACCTCATCGTTGCGCGGGTTGGTCTCGACGACCTGTGACAGAGACACACGGACACGGAAGGGAGTCCCTTGCGTGACTCATCCGGCTGTATGGATCAATGATGGGACCTCGGCGAAGCGCGGCTCAGGTTGTGGTTCCACGCCCTTGCAGCGCTTGACCTCGTCGCAGCCTTTGGCGAACAGCGCCTGCAACATGGGCGGACAGATAGATACAGTCAGTGGGGGAAAGGGTGAGCTCATGAAAGACAGATGGAAAGATGGGAAGGGGTGTGGATGCGTCGGTGAGCAGCAGGACCATCAGGTTGTAGTAGAATTCATGTCCCGGGTGCTCCGCAAAGGGCTTGATGGTGATGCAGTACTGGTGGCAGTCGAGCTTGGCGATGGCAAACTGGAGCTTGGCATCCGTCCACGTCTCGCCGTCAGGAGGCGGGTATGCGGCAGCAGGTACGGGTTGGCACACGCGGTCCTCGACCGGCACCTGGGTCACACCAATCATGAAGGGTCACGCATCGTGTGTGCCAGAAAAAGTCACTTCAGAATCAAAGTCGGCTGTCCAGGCCTTCTTGTCGTCGCCTGAGTGCTGACAGTAGCAACAGAAGCCTCCATTGAGCGAGCGGTGAAGATGGAGCGACCTCATAGACCTGCAAGCATTGCAAAATTCAAATGACACACGATTGATCGCCTGTGCGCTCGAGTGTCAACGTGTGTCATTCCTTTCAGGTAGGCTCCCCGCAGAGATGCCGGCACATAGCAGGAGGGGCACAAGGGAGACGAGCTGCATCTTGTGGAGGGGGAGGGAACGTTGGCGCCACCCGGACGGAGATGACTGACTCGGAGGCGCCCCCAAGGCGAGCCCCCAAGACGCGTGATCTCGTTTCATCTCGCGTGAGCATAAATGAGGAGCATTCGGACAGGACGGAGAGACCGGGGAGCCGCCATCACGGAGGAGAGAGGGGAAAAAGAGGGCGTCACGAAGGGTTTCGCGTATCGAAACCCTAAGCGATCTCCCCCATGCGCCAAAGAGATCGCCCGACCAGACAGAGATCTTCGCAATGGGCAATGAGCAGTCATCTCAGGATGGAGGGACGAGTGACCTGGCGGTGCGTCGGTCGGGCACCTCGGGGAATGACTTGAGGGGTGCAGAGGGAGACGCTGCGGCACCTGTCGTAAGGTGAGAATCAAAGAGAATCAAAGCATGTACATCGGCCACATGGAATTGACTGTTGCATGTTTTGCTTGTGCTGTTGCTGTTCGGTAGCGTGACGACGGAGACTGTGGATGACACGGGTGAGAAGTGCCATCCCGTGTCGGCCTCGACAAGCATATGGAAACTGGCACATGTGCAAGGTGACAGACTGCACACTCCGCACCACACGCAGGTCCACACCCATTGTTGTGCGTGCGCGTGTTACTTGGTTCGCCGTCGTGTCAGGTGAGCATTGCAACAGGGTGTTGTTCTCGGAGTCTCTGAGTGAGTACAAGGACCCCGTGGAGCCATCCCCTGAACACAATGGGCGAATCATACTCGCTAGGGACACGTAAGCGTTGACCCCGGGGATATCTCACTGGCACAGATAGGGTGCGGCGAGGTTTATGTTGAGTAGTGCGCGTGTGTCATTGTTTGAACTTGAAAAGTATGATAGCGTATCAGTTTCAAGCGGGGATGTTTCGCGTCGTCCCTGTAGTTGGCAGCTTCTACTCAAAGATCAAGCTCCGCGCAGATACCAAGGTGACTCGACTGACTGACTGACAGGCTCACCTTAACAGAGGAGAGCACACACGTTTGGGATTTGCTTCTGTTCGTATGTCTGTGTGTCAGTTTACTGATTTCCAGCTGGTTTTGAGTCCCGATGTGGGTGTGATATCCGAGAGCCTGCCCCCGCTGCATTGGGTCGCTGGGGCTGATGAGCAGGGCAACCTTCACGTCATGGCATTCACTGACGGAACAGCAGACGACAGCAAAGAGGTGAGCCACCACGAGACATGAAGACAAACAGGCAGGATTTGTGGCTCCCAACACCTGGAAGGTTTCGCCTTTCTTCCTAGAACCCTTACTCGTTCACCATTCCGGCTCTAGACGACCCTGCCAAGCGGGTAAGACGCACGTCGGGTCGATCACGCGCAACCTGCCCCCTGCGTTCTTTTGTACGTGTAGGTTGTGTGGCCCGAGCCACGTACGCCTGAGGGCGTCTCGCGCACACTGGTCGTGTTGCATCGGGAGCAGATGGTGCTGTGGAACTTCCCCGACCTGATCCGCGAGGCCACGTCGGGCAAGTTCGACAGCACCAACAATGCGGTGCTGACAGCCGCTGCAGTATCGGGGCTCAAAGTGCGGTGCTGCAAGAAAATACGGCTCAAGGACCTGTTCAGGACCACACACACCATGGTGACAGAGGGGAGGAGGGAATCAGTCGATGCAGAGAATACGTGAATCCATGAGTGTGTGAATGGCTACGCGTTTACAGGCGCCGGGTGGCCGCAGCCAGACTGTCGACGGCCTCTCCAGCGAATCATCAGGTCAGCGAGTGGGTCACTGTACACGAAAACAGGCAGAGCAATTGACCGATGATGGTGTTTGTCTGCGGATTCGTCGGCTTCAGGTGTTCCTGAAGTTGCCGACTTGTGTTTCTCGCGTGACGGGCAAGTGCTCTTCGCCGCCATCAAACCCAACCACATCGCTGCTTGGCTCGTATCGGTAGGCAAACTCCATAGACAAATGTGTGGATGGGTGTAGATGGCCCCACACTTTCCAATGTCTACCATCCCTGGTTGTTTTTGCATCCTTTTCCCCACCAGTGTCCCGAGAAAGGCGCTCCTCGGACAGAGGACCTGTTTTCCCATGCGCTTTCCTCCGACCTGGACAGCCCCACTATCGCATCCATCAACACCCTCACACCCCACACGCCCACGGACATATCCCTGGCCCACCACCGGTCCGCACCGCCCCCGCCAGAGTACCTGGTGGTCGGCAGTGGCAGCAACATGAGCGTGCAGTTCTACCGCACCAGCAGAGACCAACACCGCCCCCTCACTCTAGACCAGACGATGCGCCTCATGTGCGTGGGGGGTGTAGGGCTGGATGGCCCTGCGCGAGTGCGGGTGGCGCATGGCGAGGGTGCGGGCAGCGCCTTTGTGGTGGTGGGTGTGCCGGTGAGAGAGGCGGATGGCGGGCTGGTGCAGAGGTTCGTCCTCATCGAAACCAGGGAGTGGACCGCACAGAGGCCACTTCTGCCCGCAAAGGCCGTCAGACAGGTGGGGCGGTGCGAACAGAGCATGACAAGCCCCACAGGCACACTCATCTGCTATGCTGTTTTTCCTGCTGGTCAGCTGCCGATGTCTCATTCATGCGTGGATTGGGCGTGCGGGATGCCACGTGAGCACGACTCAGTCAAGGTGGAGCAAGGGCGTAGCCTCATCATCTACTGCTTCGAACGGATGCCACCAGCCGACAGGACTACCAGGAAACAGGCAGAACTCAACCTACACCATCAGGTCAGCCGACGTGAGCAGGACATCATGTAGACGCATCACGGACTCACCGTTTGTCCTTTTTCTGTCTGCTCAGTCGCTGACTCAGTTGCGATCTCCTTCACCGGGCCTGCCCGACACCACCTCCCACGTGCAGCCCTTCACACCATCCGAGCAGGCGCCACCACTATCGCCCAGAGCAGAGGAGCCCGATGCAGAGGAGACTATGGGAGGTGAGGCCGTGGAGAGAACGGTGGGGAAAGAAGAGGCATCTACCAGCATCCAGCCACCGCCAGGATTCCAGCCATCCTTCCCCGAGACCCCCGCCCCCTCCCCTGCAGTGCCCAAGGAGGACTCATCCATGGCGCTGCCCGCCACCCCCTACCCGTCTCCCTCGCCACTCGCACCAGGGCAGGACATGCCATCGGTACCCCTGGGGGCGGCGGGGCCGCCCCTGCCGATGCCCATGCCAGACAGTCTGGTGCCGATGCCCATGCCACCTGCACTAGCTTCAGCACAAGACACTGGCCATGACGGTGGTGGACTCCAGATGCTGCTTCGGCAACTGCAGGAGGGCGGAGGTGGAGGTGGGAAGGTCGCCGCAGCGGCGGTGCCGACAAGTGATGGCGTTGGTGCGGCGAGTGGTGCTCTGAAGACTGATGAGGAGCCGATGGAAGGAACGGCAGAGTGGCTCAAGTTCAAGCTCAACTCGCTCATCAAGAAGTTCGCTGCCAAGACCATACAGAGGGTGAGAGTGTCTTCTTGAGAACAGAAGAGAAGGCGACGGCAAATGAATATGAATGATTCTCTATTCGCTGGTTGCCTGTGTGCATCGTGTGTATGGATCGGTCAGCTGGGCAAGTTACAGGATGGCCTGGTTCCCTTCTTGCAGCGAGAGCTCGAGTGCGAGGCCAACCGCGCAATAGAGGAGATCGACAGGGCGGCCGACTCGCACCGCTCGCGCAACAACGCTCTCGCCCAGAAGATCCAGAAGGAGGACATTGCGGACACTTTCCATGGCTTCATCGTCAGTAAGGGACCAGTACAAAAAGCAGACATCTTCAGTAAAGGACCTTTCTCCTGGTTCCGCCACAGAGATATCGCGCGCCAAGCAGGCGATGGAGGTGTTCGCGGGCAAGGATGGCGAGATGAGGACCCACATGCTGTCGCTTATGGAGCGGGAGATACCGTCCGTCACACAGGGCATCAAGGCACACATCATGGTCAGCAAACCCCCAATCACATCGACATGCACATCCCACTGTGAGTCTCCCCCCAACTCTCCGCTCTTGTCCGTCTGTTTCTGCAGGACAAGCTCGAGAGTGGCGGTGTGCAGCAGCTACTTGGTGACGATACCTTCCGCAAAGGGTGAGAGAAGAGCCCTCTCATACAGGCGTGCATATCCTATGAATGTCGCTGCGTGTGTATCTGTTCATGCATTTGGATGCCTGTCTGCCGTGGTGCAGTTTTCAAATGCTGGCAAGCAAGATCGGTGCTAGGGCATCTGGTGGAGGCGGCTTCGACCTTGACAGATACACCGCCGCCATCAAACAGGTAGACGCGGTCACCGTCACATCCCCGTCTGTGGCCTTGTCTGTTTGCAGGAGCTGGAGGGCAACATGGAGTGGGTGTTCTACCGTGTCATGAGTGAGGAGCTGGAGAAGGTCGTGGGCGTACTGGAGACACAACACGGGGACAAAGTACAGGACATCGCAAACGAGACACGGGTGCGTCAGACCTTCTATCGGCAGTGGTGTCGCCGATGTCTCTCATACGTATCTGTGTGCGGTGCAGAGGTTCCTGCAGGAGCTGTTTGAGCATCACATCAAGAAGGCGTTTCAGGACGCCTACCAGATCATGCAGCCGCCCGAGGGCATGGTGCCTCGGGACAAGTATCAACACCTTCTGGATATGTACAAGGACGCGAAGGCCAAGTACGAAGTGCTCGAAAACGACTACATGACACTGCGAAAGGAATACACAGCCGCCAACACGACCACTACCAAGGTGAGGGAAGATGCGCGATGTATATGGGTGCACGCACTCCGTTACAGAGTTTGGTCTGCTTCGCGCAGGTGTACCAGAGGATCGAGGCCAAGAACAGGCAGCTGGAGGAGCTGATTCAGGTGCTTGGCCGCGACATCGCCCAGCTGCGGGCCAACGAGGACCACCTGAGGCAGCAGGTAACCTCGTACCAGGAAGCACTCGCCAAGGCTAGGGCCAGCGAGAGGGTGGTGGAGCGGCACCCATCACAGCCAGAGCCCATGCCCAAAGCAGAAATCGACAAATACATCCGCGTTTCACAGGACGTGAGTGAGCAGAGCGACATACAGAAAACGCGAGGCAGGGAGGCAGGCAAAAGACGCAATGTGTTTTACGTCACAGTACATGAGAGGTGGCGACTACGGCTCGGCGTTCTCGAACATGTCGATCTTGGCCATGAGGATGCGGCAGGCTGGTGACCCGCAGCACAAGGCATTCGACATTCTCGCGACCTTTGCAGCCGACATCGACCCCAGCGACCTGTAAGGGAGTACAGAGAGGCAGCTGCATGCAGCGAGGCAGCAATCTCCCTTTCTGTGCAGTCCGGACAAGACACCGGTGTCGCACACTGTTGGGCTTCTGCACTGTAAGCAAGCACATCACACGGACCATACGCGTGAATGAGCACCAACCAGATGGAAGAAGACACTGTCGTTTTTTGCATCTATGATGGAATGCAGACATGTGGGTCTGGGACATGCCAGACAGCTGGCTCACCAGCCAGGCCTCCCTGTCGAAGCTCCCTCAATTACTCAGTTGGAGCAGGTCAGTCACACAGACTCAGCCTTTCACTCAGCGGATGAATAAGTGAACTTCGTGGTCTCTGTTTTGCTGTGATACGGGCAGGGAGCTCTTGATTGCGGGTGACTTTGAGGACGGATCCATCAATTTGCGGGAAGACGGACACGTAAGACAGTGGGCTGGTACAGTGGTACTGCCCTACACGTCCCTCAACATGAGTGCTGCCTCACCTACCAGCGTAGCTTGGTGACCCGTCTGCTGGAGAAACTCACCGACATGAAGTCAAGGCTCGAGGCAATTGCCAATCAATCGCCACAAGCAAGTACGTACGCACATCCCGACGATACACAGCAGCCCTGCTTGTCGTTTGCGCGGGGGCCTGCAGGCGATGCCGCCATGGCATCGAATGCGGCAGAGAAGACCAATGCTGTATTCAAGTTCCTGTCTAGGTTCGTTGCGTCACGTATCCACTACGCGCTGTAAAGTGTTCGTTGCGCTGTACCTTGTTATTGTCAGGAAGTGGAACACTTTACAGCGCAGCCAGGGTGTCGGGCCCACATGACAATCGCTGGCGACTTATCTGCCTTTTATCCCTATATGTGACGTGCACGAGTATGACTCGAATTCCGTCAACTTATCAATGGATGGGGCGGACGTGAGACATAGGACAAGACTGTCAGCGTTCGATATGACGCAGACCCAGTGTTTGAGGTTCATAGGTTGGGGGATACACTCATCGTGTGTAGAGACACAAGACCCACAAGACTAAGCTTCTTGACGCCATGCTTACAACGGAGGAAGACAGAGGAAGGAGCCGTACTCGCGGTCCTGCAGACGCTCTTGTCCCCCTCTTGGTGCCTCAGGGTCGATGGACTCTAGGTTGTCTACGCTCTCAGTCGAACGCAGAGGAGGCGCAACAAGAACCATCATCGGTGGTGGTGATACATCGTAGACTGCGAGTAGAAGTGCGTGGAAGCAAGATGGACTTGATGAAACACAAATCTCTTTGGGTATGCGCAGTGACCCGCTGTCTCGTGTGCCGAAAGGATAATACGGACACTCGCTATCCTCGCACAAAAGCAATATCGCACAAAAGCAATATCAGTCGCTCATTCACCCCTTCTCTGCCGTCTGTACGAGCAAACCAAGGCTGGCTCGTGGGTCGCAACTTTACTGACTGACTCGCTCCCTCCCCCTTCCCTCGCTCAATCACAGCCAGTCAGTCCCTCCCGATGGACTCTCTTTCATCTGAGTGATCTGCTGGCTGTCTCTTTGCAAATACCGAACACGCCCAATATCATGAATGTGAATTCTTACACAAAGGCAACATCAGTCGTCATCAAATCTACCCATTCACCCCTTCTCTACCGCGCACGTCGCAAAGAATCCGAGAAGTGTACATGATCAATCTGACTGGTCTGAAGAGCCAATGTTTTAGAACAACCTGATGAAGTATGCCTTTATGTCTGACATGAAGGATCGCTTTAGCTTGGCGGGCTTCACTGAAAGGTTTGCAGCTGCATCAAGTATTTCCTCATCTCTAAGGCAATGTCTGTACACCCTCCATAAGAGGGCCCTAGCTATCTCTGGAGTTCTTCCTGCCCAACCGCAGCACGGCACCATGACTTGACGAAGAAGACGCTACCCCTCAATGGACTTCCATCTGGTCATCGACGACCATTCTTTCAGGCCTTTCGCTCTGACGGATCACCCTTTTGCGAATATTTGTCCCCTGTTTTCCTGGAAGTATCGAGGGTCGGCATGTCCGAACAATACAGGGAACCTGCGACAGATGCGAAACATGGAAAAAATGAGACGCCCTACTTGACGAACAGTCTCCTTACCTGTGAGGGTTGCACTTGATGAACCATGGCAACTCTCTTAATTTCAAGTCGTCATATTTCTTGCCAAGCTGGCAGTACATGCCTTCATCGCTATGCCACGCCCCGTGCCCGTATCGCTCACCTTATGTATAGGCTTGTATTTTCGGAGGTACACAAATTCCCTCCTAGTTCCTTCTGTGTACAACCTCCTCTGCGCCCACACCAGTCGAGCCGCCATCTCGGTTAAAAGTGCTTTGGGAGGCTTCCATGATAATTGTGCAGCCAGAGAGGAAAGACGAAGAGGCTCTAGTTCTGGAATAGTAGTGTCTGAACAGAGGAGCCGTTGTATATGATGAATCCTGTGATCCACTTCCTGCTCACTGGCAAGTGGTGCATTAAGCTCAGCCTGAAACTCGGACGGCAGCTTGCAAAGCGGGTCGCCGAGCAAAGCGTCGCCGAGGCAGTAATCAGCTGGGAGTATGTGGCCGTGGCTGTGCGCATATGTGGCATCTGATATGGGTGACAATGCAAAAGAACCACAGAATAGTTGTCCTTAACGTTTTTCACATTCAACGAACAGGAAGGGGATGAAGTTGTAGTCTGTTATGTGCCAGCTGCATTTGGAAGAACACACAAAATCACCCACGTAGATGTTTGTCCACGGATTCATAGCTACTCCGATAGACCCAGGTTTTTTTGCTCCTGGTGCTGCACTTACCACGAGATTGCCTCGTGGGGCTGTGGCATGTGGTGATTGTGGGATGTCTAGATCCATCATACCGGTGAGACTAGGTTAGAGTTGCCGGCCTAGCTGATAAGGACGGTTGCAGCCTCAGGGAGGGGTTTGGCAAGCTCACAGTGCTTCACCAGCTTCATCACATCCCCGGCAGGTATCTCATCCGGGTCGCTCATAAGGAGCAGATCTTTGGCTTGAGTCACGTACTTCGCCTTCTTGTTGAGCTGCAAGAACCTCTTCATGAGCTCACTGCGAGCCCACATTTGGGGTCCATAGCAGTCACTGTCTTTTTGGCAAGTTCCGCCGCTCTCATAGTTGCTACGCGCCTCTGATTCTGGAAGCTGTATAAGCACGATTCGATCCCGCAAATCGCCAAACCTGACTCACGGCTGTATGCACACGAAACCAACTCACGGATGTGGCTCGCGCGTCTACCGGTACCTACCACTCAGGGTCTTGGAGTGCTGGCCATCAAAAGAGGCTTCGGACCCCCTGATGAGTCGGCCAGCCGACTTTCTCCCACAACGAACCAGTCAACTGCATGGCGTAGCTCGTGGAAGCGCACCTCCACAGGATCTGAGAGACAGCAAGGTATGACGTGTATAGCGTGTCTGATTAGAGACAGCAATGTCTCACCCAGTTCATATCCCATGTAGATCATGTCAACCATTTTTCGCGGTCGCTCTAGGCGTGCCCGACAGGAGGCCCCAGAGCTTGTCGTTTGCTACACAATCGCCATCCAATATCTCAGTGTACTTCACCGGAGCCTCACACGTGGCATTGGTCTGGGCATGGAGGCGCAGACAAAATATAAGTTGACAACACGTCGATGACTCTCGCATTTCTGCACGAAATGAGTTTTCCAGGCTCACGTTTTGGTGCGACACACAAACGTTTTGGTGCGAGTGGATTGCGAGGATGATTTGGAAAATCACCGAAGTCGAAGGCCGTGAGAGCATCGGCCAGCGAGGGGACGAAAGAACGGGAGACATCCAGAAGAGATAGTGCACTGGCTGGCCACTGGGCTCGAAGAAGGGACGCAAATGACGGTTTAAAAACAAGGAAAAGGGGCGCCCCAACCAGCGAAAGCAGAAGAGTCATAGAACAGGGGAAATGATAAGATTTTATCAGCTGGAGCTGCCTGCAAGAGCCGCTACAGCGACTTCATGCACATTAGAAGGGCCTCAAGGGCGCCCCCCCCCCCCCCCCCCCCCCCCCCC